ACTGGTTTGAGATGAAGACTGCTTGCCATGCTCTTAGGAAGTAAATCTCTTTTGAATTTGAGGCAGTGTTGGGACAGAAAATTCTTACTGTAACTATTCAGAAGCCAAGAGACCATTGTTTTGTACTTTGCTTCTTATGTTTACTTTAGAGAGCGAGGAATGCAAATGCTTTCAGTTAGAAAGCCTTTATTTATTTTTGGAAATGGAACAAGAAATGTGTCTATCTTGGAAACTTTCTGCAGATTATTTGATGCTGGGAAAATATGTAATTATTTCTTTCAGTAAGTTTGTAGCAATAATTTGAAAATGAGATATCAGGAAAAGCCTGTTCTTCCTTAAGTTTAGTTTATTTGTCTTTAAAAAAAATTAAATGTAACCATTTTGCTGGGTTGATCATTTCGTTTGGGGCATAACATTTGTGCAGTTGATGACCAACAAATATAAAATATGGTAACTAGAATTAACTGTGCACATACCGATTATGTACAGTATAGTTAGTCTCAATTGTATCTAAAAGTAATTATGAAAACAAGTATGCTTTATCTTGAACTTTGCAAATTTAAACTATTTTTTCATATAAGGGATCATTAGTATTAATAAGCTTGTTGAGCAAACTTTGAATCTAGTTTTCAGTGCTTAAAACACATGAACAGAACGGTCACTGATAGACGGAAGCCACCACATTGCAGGGCATTTGTCACAGATTTCCCTTGTGGACTTGCTCAGAAGGGCTAAGGATTATGCGAACTGTTATGTTGTTTAACATAACTGTTGTCATGTTAAATCTTTGCATACCTCTTCGATACCCCTGCCTCTGATTACTTAACCAAGGGGTTAAACACGACCATCACAACTGTTAGGTTTCCATTAAGCCAGAAGAATATTATTTGATATTTATCTTATATCTGTAACCTGAACTTTACCAAGTAATGTAATGTTCATATGTTGATTCCTACATTAAAATATTTTTTGTTAGGAATTTGTTGTGTTGAGCAGCATTTTAACATGGAAAGTTCTACTAGCCATATGAATTTTGACATGTTTCAAAGAGGTCAGTAAATAAAATATGCGAATATATATTGTTTCTCTCGAAGTTTTTAACTTCACAAGAATTACTCGTTTCTTGACTGGCATATACTGTATTCATTTAGTCTACATTGAGCATAATGATACTGTGAGTAAACGTTGTTTGTTTTGTTTCTTGGTACTTTACATTTCTCTGAGCTGTCCTGTTTCTCCGTGGCACGGTTCTTTTCTGGATCAAGGAAAGTGATCTAAGAGTGTAGGGTTTTTTTGAGTTTGTGGCGGTTTTTTCCCCCCATAATTAATGGGATCAGGAGTTTTGGGGGCCTTTTTCTTTCTCATTTACATCTTCCACTTGTTAGCACTACAAAGGCAACCAGGAAGGGAGGGGCTAGCAGGTTATTTTTCGTTCTGCCCGATGTACCTGGAAACTGGCCAGAAGCTTGTAGAGAGGAACAGCCTTTGTTCTGATTTTTAAAAATAATTTATCCCAGAGAGCACATCATACGCATTCCTCTCCGTACCAACGGCTTCTGACCGAAAGCGGGAGAGCTGTGTCCACATCTTGCCCTGCTGAGTTGGACTCTGCATCTTATTCTATGGACTGTAGATTGCGTATGTGTAGATGCTACTTCGAAATCTCTAGTTTCTTGGGTTTCGTATCCTAAGGAGTGAGGTTGCAGTCTCACCGCAGTTATTTTACATAACAGCAGCTTCATTGAGCTATAACTCGCTATAAATTCCCCCCATAAAGTGTACAGTTCAATCGGTTTTTCGTACATTCAGAGTGTGGTGATGCGACCATGCCCAGCACTGAAGTTCGGAATGGAAGTCACTGCACCAAACTGCGGGGAGGGAGCGGCGAAGCTGGGCGGTCCCCCAGGTCGCCGAGGGGGGCGGGACCGGACCCGGACGTCCCAGCCGGGAACGCCCCTTGGGGGGGAGAAG